ATCCAGTAGGGGGGATGCAGGAGACAGCAATCAATGATTCTTTTTCTCCCTCTCTCTTCCTCTCTGAAATCAATAATAATATATATATATTTTTTATTATGTTTTAAATATTAAGCGCCATCTTCATATGCATTTTACAGGAGACAAAGATAAATAAAATCTAGATATAGACCCCAAAAAAATCACAAAAGAAATAAAAATAAAAAATACAATAAAATAAAATTAGAGCCTTGCTGGTGTAGCTCAATGAGCACTGACCTATGAACCAGGAGGTCACAGCTCAATTCCAGGTCAGAGCACATGCCCAGGTGGCAGGCTCAATCCCCAGTAGGGGGCATGTAGGAGCCAGCTGACTGATGATTTTCTCCCATCACTGACGTTTCTCTCTCTTTCTCCCTCTCTCTTCCTCTCTGAAATCAATAAAAATATACTTTCAAAAATTAGAATAAAATACCTAAAAGCAGCATCCCAATTCAAGTATTTCCCTTGTTTGGAATCTGAATGCCGATCTAAATGTTGAACAGTATCAGGATCCCGAATCAGCTGCTTAAATTTCTCAACTTCTTTCTGAAAATGAAAAATAGAGCACAATAATGGGTCACCAATCACACACTTATTTCAAACAAAGACTAAATTGAAGTAATTTACTACCCTTCGTTCCGTAGCTCTGTCATGTTCTAGTTGGCGGCAGCAAATAAGCAGATCGTTAAGTGCTAGACTCATGGTTCAGGATTTCAGAAAACATCAATGTCTGTAAAAACAATACATACATAAACTTATTTCAGACTGTGGCATTAACATATGGTTAAAGCTAACTCTACAACTAGAGGCATATTGTGATCAAGGGCAGGATGGTTTTTCTTAACATTTCCGTACTTAAATGAGGTTTTCTTAGTATGTATCACAGCGAAGCTTCAACATGCAATGTGCACTTTGTGTGCAGTAGCAAGATAAAAATATGAAAGTTATAGTTTACGTTATTTTTCTGAGACCTTTTCTAAGAAACACGACATTTAAACTGAAACACAAAAATGAATGAAAGATAGCCAGGCAAAAAATGAAGGAAAAGAGCATTTAAGGATTTAATACTGACCATCTATTTAAAAGCACCCTTTCTATGTGTAATGACCTCATATAGCTGAGCCAAAAACTTAAATTGCTTATGCTTTGGGATTGATACGCAGGTCATGAGAGCTAGGAAGCCCTGCATAGAGTTCCCATCCTAACTGGCTTTTTGATTCTCATTTAATACTACATAAAAACAGGAAAAAAATGGTATTCTTGTTTTAAAAGGAAATGATGGAAATTATAAGCCATAATGATATCCTTTGCCAATGTCAAAGGTTAACTATATTCTACTATGCCGTAATATCACTGCAGTAGCCCTCCTCCTTTGGTAATCAAACTTTCCTTTGGTAACCTTCCAAAGTATCTTGGAAGAAAAACATTTCAGTATTTGAGTCTTTTTATAAAAAAGGCTCATTTCTGTTACACACTGTTAATAAACAAAGAAAAACATGCCCATTATGTCTATGATACCTACACTTACATATATATCGCAAGAGAAAAGATGGGGAAAATCCTTTTCCTATACATCCACCTATGTTCTACTTGATCTTCCAGGATCAGGTATATTTATCAGCCCATGTTTAATTTCACAGAATCTTAAAAGTGGGAGGAAATGAGCGATCATGTCCCATCCTCCTTCAAAGGAAGAAATTCCTCCTACCATGTTATTGTCCTTTCTTCAAACACTTGCAGTGAAGGCAAACTACCTAATAAGACTTCCTAGTTCACTGGCAGGTAGCTCTAATTTCCTTCTCCATTAGTATTCATTGGTTGTTCTGACCCTTTCAACACCATTACAACCCCCTTTACTCTGCTGGGAGTTGCAGGATGTTACTGACTTATAGTATTTTTCATTTGACTATAAACTTGATCAGAACAGGACTGTAATTTTTGTTTCTCCATCCCCTATGGTTGTATCTAGGACTCTTACTCCTTCTTGCTCAATCTTAAAGTACTCTTGATTAACCAGTAAGAAAAATAAAACACTTTAGCAATATTCAAAGAACCATAAAAGTAGGCACCTTTATTCCTAAATATACTAAAGATGTTATTTATAATGGGGGGGAAATGTGTTTACTAAACATGTGACATTTCCAGGAAGAGGCAACTCTAAGCTTCTTTTGTAAACTATGGCCTTTCTGAACTTGTTTTTTCTCTTCTTCATTTTCTCAAAGATTGATAACTTTTAAGAAATGAAACAGTTCAGTATTATCTATATAAACAGGAAATGTTACTCAATGATGCATGAAACTATATTTATTAGGCAACTGCTGTGTCCAAGGTGCTATATTAGGAGAATCTAGATTTATAATGTACCAAATAGACACAAATCCTACCCTCGTTGAGTCACAACTACCCTGTTTCCCTGAAAATAAGACAGTGTCTTATCTTGTCCATCTTGTATGAGGGCCTGAGGGTCAATTTGCATATTATATAGGATATTAAATTTGCATATTATATAGGATATTAAAACCTAAGTGACCAGCTGACTGTACGACCATCCAACTGGTAGCTATGAAATACTCACAGCAGGAGTGGAAACCATAGGCATGGAAACATGGAACAGACTGATGAATCTCAGAGGGAAGGGGGAGGGGAAGGGCGGGAAGAGATTAAAGGCCTAAAAGACCTTTTATGCATGCTAGAGGCCCAGTGCACGAATTCATGCACTGGCGGCGTCCCTCCACCTGGCTGGCCCCCTCTTGCAATCCGGGACTCCTTCCCCACAGGCCAGCCAGAGAGACCCCACTGGTGCATGAATCTGTGTTCTCACCTCTAGTTTTCTATAAACAGTTAGGGAACATGTCTCAGAGGATGTTACAATAAAGCCAAGATCTGAATGAACTTGTGCTAATCACAGAAAGAGCTGGAGGACAGAGATTTTAAGGTCCTAAGATGGAAAAGGCAACCAAAAGAACCAGAGCAAGCAGCTACAATAAGAGTGTCATCAGTTAAAGCTGAATTCAACCAAGTCATTAATTCAGAACAATCTAGGTTCCATTCCCAGCATGCCACTGAATGATCTTTATTTCCTAAGTAACAGCCTCTGAATTGGCAAACCCAATGCTGATCTCTACAGAATTTGACAACGATGACAAATCCCATCTCTTGAATATGATCCAGCCCTTGGGATGCCATTCTCTTCTTTTTTTTTTAAATATATTTTGTTGATTTTTTACAGAGAAGAAGAGAGAGGGTTAGAGAGGTAGAAACATCGATGAGAGAGAAACATCGATCGGCTGTCTCCTGCACACACCCTACTGGGGATGTGCCCGCAACCAAGGTACATGCCCTTGACCGGAATCGAACCCGGGACCCAGTCCGCAGGCTGACGCTCTATCCACTGAGCCAAACCAGTTCCGGCAAGGGATGCCATTCTTTTCGAGTGGCAAGAGTGTGGGCTTTGTACTCAGACTGTACTGGTGCTACTATTTATAAGCAGTAGAACCTTGGAAAAGTTAGCTACTCTCTCTTCACCTCACTTTTCTCAATGATAAAATGAAAAAACAATGCATACTAGAACCTATTTCAAAGAGATACTGCAAGGATTCGTGTACCAGTTCAACCGTGGGTGGAACACAGTAAATGCTCAATAAATTACCGTTAGCAATTATCCTTTCTATTTCCTAAGTCCATTTTGATGGTGGTTCTTCCACTCACACCCAAAAGAACATCCTTATTTCCTGACTTCTCATTTTTATTTTACCCCAGTGTGATCTCATCCATTCCTATGACTTCGATGTGTTGAAATGCCCGCCTTTATCCCATTTAATACCACACCCCACTTTTGAGCTTCAGGCACCGTCTCCACTTTGTGCCTTTTACCCACATTTTGCCTTCTGTGCAGAGAAAGCTCCTACCACCCTCCAGAGCAATTCATCACTGGGAGATCTCCGCCCAAACTGAACTGATTATGTCCGGGGCTGTTTCCAGAGAACCTCATTCACCCCTCTACTACCACCGTACTCTTTTGCCACATCTCCATCCTGAATTGTATAAGTCTTTTTCCTTGATCTGTACCGGATCCAAACGACAGCGAATGCTCTTGAATGCTCACCCCAGGAAAGGATGGTCCCGAGGAAGACAGGGGCGCGTGGTCCCACAGCGGACGGCGTCCCAAAGGGTGGCCTCCGGCGGGGTGATTGCGGAGCCCAGGCAACTGCGGTTCACCCTTCAACAGATGCTCGCTGATTGCAACTAATGACGAGAGGGGGAGAAAATTGATTAGCCATCGAATTAAATCGGGGTCCCCGGGGCATGTAGAGGAAGGTGGGTGGCTAAATCAGCTGGGGGCTCGGAGAGCCCAGGAAAGAGGAGCAGAGAGGGGCGCCATCCGGAGGACGCGAGATGGCGCGTCCAAGGGGGCCCAGGACAGGAGGCTCGGGAGCCTCAATTCCCCGACTGCACGGCTCTCGCGCCCCTCCGGCCGGACTCCGACAGCCAAAGGGCAATCTCCGGAGGGCACGATGGTTGCAGCCCAGATCGCCGCTTCTGGCGCCCCAGCCCGGGGCCGCAGAGGCTGCAGTCCGCTCTCCACGCACCATTCCCGCTTCCGGTTCAAACCCGGCGTGACAGCGCAGCCCTCGTCCTGCCAGGAAGTGAGGCTGTCCGGCGCCGGGACCCGTCTGCCCATGCGCGTCAGCATCTCTCCCTCCGCGGCCAGGCCTGGGTCCTCCCCCTTTTCCCCCCAAATAAACATGGGCAAGTCCGCGGAGGCGCCTGCGCCGTGCCCGCCAATGGCGTGCGCCCTGGCCCCTGGGGCTCGCCCGGGGGGCCGGGGCTCCGGGGCCTGCACCACGCCTCCTCGCCGCCCCCTTCCACCCCCCCACATCCTCCAGAGAAGAGGGCGGAAGTGACGACACATTCCAGGAGCACGGAGGCGGGCTTCCTTTCGGCGCCTTTCTTTCTCCCGCGAACGCGATTGGCTGGCGGGGGGCGAAAGGGGCGGGACCAGTGGCCGCGGGTTCCGTGCCGCCGCCGCTGGAACCGGGAGATGCGGCGCAGCGGCCGTCGCTGGGCTGGCTTCTCCCCGAGCCTTGTGTCTTATTGCGGTCCCTTCCGCGGCATCGAGTATGTTGTTGCCTTCGGACGTGGCCCGGCTGGTATTGGGTAAGCTGGGCCGCCGAGGGGAGCGAGGGAGGGGATATGGGACCAGCTCCGCCGGACGGGGAGACCTTGGGGGCCAAAGGCTTCTCCCCGGGTGGGGAAACTTTGGGGTTTCGCCTCCCCGCCGACTCCTTCAGCCCCGCGGCGGCGGCCACGGCGACTCCTCTTCAGCTGGAGGCTCGGCCGTTTTCGCTTCTTTTGTGTGTGGAGGCGCCTCTCCTGGGGGGGCGGCGGGGCGAGGGGCGCGGAGGGGAGGGAGCGCGGGCGGAACACCTGAGGCCGCCCGGGGCCAGGGCTGGGCGGGCCCGCGCGCCGCCCCGAGACCCCGCGGGCGAGTCGTCGACGTGACGGGAGGCTGCGTGTTTCTCCGACCTTGGGTGCGCTTTCCCTGGTCAGGGCTGGGACCCAAATAGGAAAAAAAATAATAATAATAAGGACTTCCCCAGCCTGATGGAAAGACCTTCCTCCCGACGCCCTCCTTGTCGTAACTCGCTTTTAGAATAACGACGCGTTTGGGCCGAATGGTGTGAGCTCTTTCCACCCGCCACAGTGGGTCGCCCCGTGTAGAGGTTTGAAATGCCAGTTGCATATTTTAAAACAGAAGGAATTCCTTTTTTTTTTTTTTTTTTTTGAGGGGGGGGGGGGGAAGGGACGGAACTGGCAAGAAACTTCACACGGGGAATGACTTTCAGGTGACTTGTTCTAAGTCTTGGTTCGTGTTTCCTCCATTTGCGGAGGCTTTGGTTCCTTGGGCCCGTGGTCGAGGTGCTCTGTGTGGGAAACAAGGTTTTGTGGTTTGCACCCCGAAAGACCAAAGAGGATTGGACTGCTGGGGACGAGAGCCGCATGAAACTCAAAACACGAGCCAGGGATTTTACAGGCATCGTGTTCGACACCCCTGAAAGTAAATGGTAAACATCTGTGATGGAGCTTCCCATAGTGTCTGCAGTCGTTTTATTAGGGAAGCCCGTTTGTCTTGTTTCTTCTTTTTTTATATATATATTTTATTGATTTTTTACAGAGAGGAAGGGAGAAAGAGATAGAGAGCTAGAAACATCGATGAGAGAGAAACATCGACCAGCTGCCTCTTGCACACTCCCTACCGGGGATGTGCCCGCAACCAAGGTACATGCCCTTGACCGGAATCGAACCTAGGACCTTTCAGTCCGCAGACCGGCGCTCTACCACTGAGTCAAACCGGCTTTGGCTGTCTTGTTCTTAAAATACCCATCTGTGTCCAGAGAAATGCCTGGGCTTTTGATAGACGCATTTTGCAGGAAATACTACAAAGTGATTCCATCATCCATTTTTTTGATAAATTAAATTCATGACTTAAGTTTAAACTGATACTTTTGTTAAATGTTTGGCCAATCTTTTGCCTACTTAACCAGAACTGAGTATCCATAGTTAACCCACATCTATATCTTGTGATATTAGACTTGCATGTAATCCAGTCCAAAGTAGACTTTCACAGTGTTTATGATCATATTGACATACTTTATTCCCCCCCGCCCCCCTCCACGCAGTGTTTACTTTAAGAATTTTTGAGTTTGGGCAGTTTGATAATCCAGTAACCACAGCCTTCAAGTGGATTTCTTGACCTGGCGTTATTGACATTTTGTGCCAGATAATTGTTTATCTCCTACTGTCCTGTGCATTTGTGGGATGTTCAGCAGCATCCAAGGCCTCTATCCTTTAGATGTCTGTAGGGCTCCACTCACCCTCTGTCCAGTTGTGACAACAAAAAGTGTCTCCAGATATTGACGGTAGGTTCCCTGAAGGGCAAAAATCACTCTCAGTTAAGAACCACTGGTTTTACAAAAGCAATTTGATTTTCTAACTGGAATAATTCACACCATCTTGTGAGTCTCTTCTCCACAAACCGGCTGATCTGCTTGACTTCCTACTTTTTTTCCGAATGGACTCAGTCAGTCGGCATTGTTTCTTATCCTAAACTAGTTCTTTGTCATTCACTTTCCATTTTGATTGCTACTTATCCTAGCAATATGCCTCCTATTATTCTTTTTTGGATTTTTGTCATTGCTTCTCAGTCTTGCTATTCATCTTTTCTGTTACAAAACAAAATCTACCTAAAGCATTCACACTATACCTCCTATTAAAGTTGAAACAACTGTGCACTTAACCAAAACTTTCAAGTTGTGCAAAAGAATATGTAACAAATCTTCTTGCATTAACTGCTTTTGCTTTTTTCATGTATCTTGAAGCTCATATCAGCATGTAAAGACCTACAATTACAAAACTTAGTGACTTAAAATATTAACAGGTTTATTATTCACTCATGATTCTTGTCAGTACTCCCTCCCCATCTTCAGCCCCTCTCTTGATGTTGGACTTTTTCCTTTATATTGTTCTTTCAGCAAATCTTCGGGTGTCTGCCATGTTTTGACACTGCCAAATGCTAAGAATAGAGGGAAGGGAGTTCTCCCCCTTAGAGTTCATATAATTAGGATTTTTACCCTTATGCGTGCGCGCGCGCGCGCGCGCACACACACACACACACACACACACACACTTCACTGCACCCCCCTCACATTCTATCTAATGCTCCTTCATCCTTTCACAAGTCAAATTTATTCAAAGAACAATAAATTATATTTAGTTGCTCTACTTGCTCACCTAACTTTGTTCTTTTTTTAAATATATTTTTGTTGATTTCAAAGAAGAAGGGAGAGAGAGAAACATCAATGATGAGAGGTACTCATTGATCAGCTGCCTCTTGCACACCTCCTACTGGCATGTGCCCTTGACCAGAATCATACCTGGGAACCTTTAGTCTACAGGCCAACGCTCTATCCACTGAGCCAAACCTGCTAGGGCTAACTTTCATTTTCAACATACAGCAGTGACTTTTGTACCTCACTACATTTAAACAGCTCTTGCTAATCAGTTACTCCCAGCTGTTGCCTTGCTGGAAATTCTTTAATTATTGCACAAGTCAAATGCATCAAAATTTGTTTATTGCCTCTGGAATCACCAGTTTGTTTTTATCAGCATGTCATACAAAGTGCTCTGTGGAACTGATTCTGCTTCATCTCAACTTCTCAACATCTGACTTGTGCTTCAGGGATACCAGACTATTTGCTGTTACTCCGCTTTTTCCTATGCATTCTGTTCCCTCTGCCTGCAGCATTTATTCTATTCTCCCTGTCTTCCTAAGTATTTACACTCATTGTTCTGGTCAAACGTAATCTCTGAAACCTCATCCAGCAGGTATAGTTAGTACTTCTTAAATGTTTCCACAGCATTATACATTACTTCTGTTAGTACACCCTTACCATGTTTTATGGTAGCTATATATTTGCTTTCCTTTTTTTTCCCCTTAGAAAACATGCAAAATTTAACCATTTTAGTGATTTTTAAGTGTACAGTTCTGTGGCTTTATTTACATTCACGTTGTTCTATTACTATTACAATTATTCCCCTCTAGAATTTGTTGCTGTGGCTGTTAATCCTCATCCCTAGTATATTCCTCCATTGATTCTCAGAGAAAATGGAAGGGAGGAAGAAGCTGAGAGAAAAACATTGATGTGAGAGAGACACATCAGTTGGTTGCCTCCCACATGCATTGACCAGGCCAGGGGTCGAGCCTGCAACCCAGGTATGTGTCCTTGACTAGAATTGAACCTGGGACCCTTCAGTCCTCAGGCAGATATTCTACCCACTGAGCCAAACAAGCCAGGGTACCTTCTAGGCTTTTTTTTTTTTTTTTTTCCCCTAGAAATTTACTTTATGTCAGATTCAGTACTTTTAACCTGAGGTTAATGGGCAAGCTTAAAAAGTTCTGGGGTCCCACAAATTATCTAAAAAGGTTTATGTGCAGGTAGTGTGTTTTATGGGTGAGGTGTCCAAAACTTCCTTTTTAAAAAACAACTATACTTTTACTTATTTCAGACAGAAAGGGAGAAAGAGAGAGAGAGAAACATCAATGAGGAGAGAATCATCGATTTGATGCCTCCTGCACACTCCCTACTGGGGATTGAACCTGGAGCCTGGGCATGTGCCCTGACCAGGAATTCAGTCATGACCTCCTGGTTCATAGGTTAAACCTCAACCACTGGGCCAGAACTTTCTTTAGATTCCTAAATAGGTTTGTTCCTTTCTGTATGAGTCAGCATCCATTCAGGAAAATTGAAACCAGTCTTAGTATTTGACAATAGAGGCCCAGTGCACAAAATTGTGTACCTGCGGAGTGGTCCCTCAGCCCAGCCTGTACCCTCTCACATCTGGAAGCTTAGTCCCACTCTTGAGCCAGGCTTCTGGCTGAGCAGTGCTCCCCCTGTGGGAGCGCACTAACCACCAGCGTTGAGGGTCTGCACCCTGATAGTCAGTATGCCTCAGAGTGATAGGTCATTCTGCTGTTCAGTCGATTTGCATATCAGCCTTTATTGTATAGGATAGGATGGGGGGATTTAATGAGGGAATTGGTTATACGGGTGGTAGAAAAGCTAAGAGCAGCTTAACATATTGTGGTCAGATCACGAGAATTCTCGCTTCATATTACACAGTGTTTTATAAGGTATCATACTTTAAAAAGATAGTTTTTAAAAACATGTAATAAATAACTTCAAAATGCAATGGGTATTTAATTTTAAAGCGTGCCTTTAACATTTATGTAAAACATTTTTTGTACTCATTCAATAGAAACTTATCTGACCACTAGGTAAAGCTAGCAATAAAACTACTGGTCCGCAATGCGTTAAGTGAGCCAGCTCAGAGGGTAGCAACACCTGAAAACCACTAAGATTGTCAGGACAAGGAAAGGTTAGGCAGCCCAGAAGCTGGGTTCGTTATGTGGAAGATGGAAGGTATAACTTGTCTGGTGATGGAGTAATAGTCAAAGAGGAGATTCTGCCAAGGCAGAGAAGAAATGGAAGAAGAAAGTGTAGCTTCTTCCAACAGCCCTTCAGTGTTGTACCAGTGCTTTCCATTTATTGAACCCAGTCAGAAGCCAGCTGACATGGAGCCTAGGAAGCATTCTGTGT